TACTTTTCCAGTAATTCATAAAATTATTACATTACCTTGATGTCCATATTTGCCCATTTTTATTATATCAATTGCCTTTTTCATATTCACCCATAAGTCTATGGATAACACCTTTAAAATACGTGGCCATTAAATAGTTATCCAGATAATCGCTTGATGCTGGAAAAGTAACATAATAATTTATTATACATACTAATAATTAAAACATAAATATTTTAATACTCAGGTTATTTTTGTATTTATTTAACTGCTTAATAACTCTATTCATAATATTTTCCAACAACTGATGATTATCTTTAATACATGTCAACCAATTTAAGTCATATAAGATTTCCTACAAATATTAAAATACAAAATAATTTTAAGTAATTGTCTAAAAATTATGATAAATACCGACCACTTCGGGTAATATTAAAAATTCATTAGATTTAAAGTATTTGTCAGCCCTAACAACAGCCACCTTCTCGGGTGTCATTGATTTACCCAAACGTCTTATCCTTATGTCTGGTATTGATCTGAATTATGAAAAAGGCAATTGATATAATAAAAATGGGCAAATATGGACATCAAGGTAATGTAATAATTTTATGAATTACTGGAAAAGTAATATAAATAACAATATACAAAATCTATGTAAAAATAAGAACAATTACTGTAATAATAGGGTAGCCTTATATTGTTGAACTGAATCATTATCGTCCACACTCTTGGTGTAACGAAAGATAGCCTCCCAATATGTGGCACACCCAGGTGAAATTTTGCACTCGGTACGAAATTTTTCACCGCATTTAATTGCCTCATTTAAATCGCATTTCAAGGCATAGCACCACATCAGCTCCATTTGAACAATCGATTTACATGACTCGAATTGTTGATCTAGCAACTTTTTATACAACTCAATACCATGATCGATTTTTCCCTGAAATACCACTGTCTTTGCGTAAAATAGTTGATATAAAATATTCTACAAACATTGTTTTGATATATTAATATAAAATATATAAATCATAATTATTATTAGATTAGTTCTTGATTATTTGATAGCAAATTTAAACCATACTTACGTTTGGATATAGTTTAAGTTCGGGGATTAAAATTCGTTGATATTTATTGATATCAGGCGTTCCCAAAAATATATGTCCGTCCAGCCATAGGTACGCCGAGAATAATTGCTTTGTGATATTGGTGAATATTCCCGCATAATTATTCATTGCAATGTTCAAGTTTTTCCATCCCTTACTCTCATTGCCATAAATGCCCAAAAAGTTGACGAGACGTAGGATTTTGGGCGGAAAACAACAAATCATTAAATGAGACCAACCATTGCATAAACGGACAGCACTTTCATAATATTGTTGAGATAATGAGCTCTCCCATTTCGTGCGATTTATTACCACGTTTTTACAATTACTATAACGAATGTTATAAATGTACATTAAACGAAACCACAATAAAAATTATTGTTTTAGGGTGTTAATATTTAGCGAATAGATTATGAATTATAATTAATAATTAAAACAATTTATCAATTTTCTTAATTATATAAACAATTATTTATAAAATTGATATTTTAAAAATCGATTTTATATTCATTTATATTTACCGAAAATGTTTAACAAATCTTTGCAAATGATAAGCAATTTTGATTAGTCCATAGATATTATGCGTATCAATGCTAATCAAAGTTACATTTAACATAATACAACATGCGTGAATTAACTCGGCCTGTAATTCCACTGTTGATACATTGGGTTAAGATTAATTTTAAAAAATTATTATATTTATATAATTGTACTAACTATCGGTGTATTTGTCATAATTGGGTGTTTTAATCATTTTAATAAAATTGTTGACAATTCCTGTCCGCCGGTGTTTATTACATAGTTTTATCGCTTGAGACAAATATGTCTTCGCTCTCTTCACATCTTCCTATATAACATTAAATTATGATTAATTTAACTTAAATACGAAATTAATATATAGACATTAAAATAATATTGTAAAGTTTTTATAAAACCTGATCCATTGATGTGAATGCGGTCATCACGAGATAAAGGGCACAAATAAAGCTGTGATATATACTGCGATCACAATAGTGTTCAACGGTTGTGATCATCGCTTCTCCATCGTTGGTCCGCAACAGTTCTTCAAACGCCTGTTCGGCCCCTCCTATGGACTCATCAATCGGCAAATGAACGCTACTTATTGTAGTCATAAATGGGATTATTTTTTGCTAACATTAAATAGTTTAACAAAACAATATAAAGTTTATATGACAATTCTTACCAATTGTTTGTTGAAACTTCACTTATTTCAGCACTCATTATGTAATTATAACGAGAATTATTTGCGATTCAAGTGAATCAATGTTTATGTTTTAATGACTAAATAATTTTTAGGTTTAGTGATAAGAAATTATCACTTATTTATAGACAAACAAATATTTTTCGGGAATAAAAATAAGGATATTTTGTCAATCAAACAACAAATTATATAAATAGTAGAACAAATAAAACATGTTTAAATAATTTATGCTATTTAAATGTTAAGCTAATTGATCTTGCGAAGATTCAAATGGTAATTAATCATGGAATTTTGTCAATTTATTATACATGGTCAAATGTTGTACGTATTTAGAGACTATTGCAATTTGCTAACAATATGTCATTGAAATATTTAAAGATTTGTTCGACAATTATCATGGTAATCTTAACATTCCATCATTGTTGACAGTATAATTTGATAGATGATGTTGCGTTGATTTTGAGTATATTTACTTACTGTAAATAAAATGACAAAAGACTAGCACAATTTACGTATAAGAAATTAATGCAAAAATAATCTAGCTGATCTAGTCGTAGTTGATATGGTCGTGTTCAGTGTTATATGTAGATAAATATTGCCTTTTCTGAATGGCAACAAACACCGAAGCTATAGCCAAATTTCTAACCAAATGTTTACGTCTTATAACATTATAGTTTTAAAAATTTCAAAAATAATCTACCTAGGTAAGTATCATTTGAGAATCTCAATTTTAAGATCATGATAAATAAACTTTAAACATGTTAATGTCCAATTAAGATTCGTCCTGTATATTTATTCATAAATTACCCATTTTATACAATAAATATAGAATAATAATAGTAACTATAACAACAATAATTATAATAAATTATTATAGATATTAAAATTAATTTAGTTTTAAATATCCGTTGGTTTAATAATGAGATCTTCTTTCTCTTCAATTTCAACAAACTTTTGGTAATTTTTCTCTTTTATGTCAATTTCTTTAAGCCATTGTTTTTTGTATAATTTTTCTAAAAGCATAGTCATATCAATATTAGTTAATTGATATTAAAATAAATATTTAAACCATCAGGAGAATATATAGATAGTTTGTAAATTATTCAGTAATCAATAATTCTATAATTATGTTAATTTAAAATTAATGTTCTATAAAAACAATGTGATCATGTTTATAATTTTGTTTCAAAAAATGTGTGTAAAATATTATAAAAACCTTACTTTTCTGGTCGTCGACCTCCGGAGCCTCACCGACGGCTCCCAACCCTCTGAGCGCCGCATAGGCTCTGATGTGTACAAAGTTTTCGTTCGGATAACTCGTGTAATCAGTCATACATTTGTTCAACAGTTGAGTCGCTTTTTCATCGTTTTTCAAATCGCATTCAATTAATCCCAACTCCAGTACTGATTGTGCGGGTAATGAAAACTCACGACCAATACGTGAATCGCTTATTATTGTAATTTAAAATAAAATTGATTTTAAATTAAATTCTTTTTTTGTTTAATAATTTAATTACTTGTCAATAATAAAATCCATGCATTCCTTTGCTTTTTCATATTCACCCATAAGTCTATGGATAACACCTTTAAAATACGTGGCCATTAAATAGTTATCCAGATAATCGCTTGATGCTGGAATAGTAACATAATAATTTAATATACATACTAATAATTATTACATAAATATTTTAATACTTAAGTCATTTTTGTATTTATTTAACTGCTTAATAACTCTATTCATAATATTTCCCAATAACTGATAATTATCTTTAATACATGTCAACCAATTTAAGTCATATAAGATTTCCTATAAATGTTTAAATGCAAACAAATTAAAAAATTTAAATTAATTGTCTGAAAAATATAGTAAATACTGACCACTTCGGGTAATATTAAGAATTCATTGAATTTGAAGTATTTGTCAGCCCTAACGACAGCCACTTTCTCGGGTGTCATTGATTTACCCAAACGTCTTATCCTTATGTCTGGTATTGATCTGAATTATGAAAAAGAAAATAAGTATAATAGAAATGGGCAAATAAACCAAGAATTACGGTAAAACTAATATAAATTAAAATATCAATAGCTGTAACAATTACTGTAATAATAGGGTAGCCTTATATTGTTCAACCGAATCATTATCGTCCACACTCTTGGCGTACCGGAAGACAGCCTCCCAATAAGTAGCGCACCCAGGTGAGATTTTGCACTCGGTACGAAACTTTTCACCGCACTTTATTGCCTCATTTAAATCGCATTTCAAGGCATAGCACCACATCAGCTCCATTTGAACAATCGATTTACATGACTCGAATTGCTGATCTAGCACCTTTTTATACAACTCAATTCCATGATCGATTTTCCCCTGAAATACCACTGTCTTTGCGTAAAATAGTTGATATAATATATTCTACAAAAATTGTTTTTATACATAAATATATACATAATTTCCAGATTATTTGATGGAAAATTTAAACCATACGTACATTTGGATACAGTTTACGTTCGGGGATAAAAACTCGTTGATATTTATCGATATCAGGCGTTCCCAAAAACATGTGTCCGTCTAGCCATAGATACGCCGCGAATGTTTGCTTGGTGATTTTGGTGAATATACCCGTATAATTATTCATTGCAATGTCCAAGTTTTTCCATCCCTTACTCTCATTGCCATAAATACCCAAAAAGTTGATGAGACGCAGGATTTTGGGCGGAAAACAACAAATTATTAAATGAGACCAACCGTTGGCCAAACGGGCGGCACATTCATAATATTTTTGAGATAATGGGTTCTCCCATTTCGTGCGATTTATTACCACGTTTTTACAATGCCTATACATTTAACGAACCCACAATAATTTTTATAGAGTTTTAATAGTTAGCAAATAGATTCTAAATTATGAATTACAATTATAATTATTAAAATTATTTATTAACTATCTAAATTATATAAACAATTATTTAATAAAATAGATATAATAAATCAATTTTATATTAGTTTATATTTACCGAAAATGTTTAACAAATCTCTGCAAATGATAAGCAATTTTGATTAATCCATAGATATTATGCATATCAACGAATAGCAACATTACATTCAACATAATACAATAGGCGTGAATTAACTCAGCATGTAATTCCACTGTTGATACATTGGGTTAAGATTAATTATTAAAAAACTACGATATTTAAGTAATTATACTAACAATCGGTGTATTTGTTATAATTGGGTGTTTTAATCATTTTAATAATATTGTTGACAATTCCTGTCCGCCGGTGTTTATTACATAGTTTTATTGCTTGAGACGCATATGTCTTCGCTCTCTTCACATCTTCCTATATAGCAGTAAATTTTGATTAATTTAACTTAAATATTAAATTAATATTTAAACATTAAATAGTATTGTAAAGCCTTTATTAAACCTGATCCATTGAAGTGAATGCAGTAACCATGAGATAAAGGGCACAAATAAAGCTGTGATATACACTCCGATCACAATAGTGTTCAACGCTTGTGATCATCGCTTCTCCATCGTTGGTCCGCAACAGCTCTTCAAACGCCTGTTCGGCCCCTCCTATGGACTCATCGACCGGCAAATGACCGCTAAATATTGTAGTAATAAATGGCAATATTTTTTGAGACAAATTTAACGAAACAATATAAATTTTATAACAATTCTCACCAATTTGTTGAAACTTCACTTATTTCAGCGCTCATTATGTAATTATAACGAGAATTGTTTGCGAATTAATTAAATCAATTCTTGTGTTTTAATTACTTAAAAATATATTAAATAAAATTATCACTTATTTATAGACAAAACAAATATTTTTTCGGAGATAAAAATAGAGATATTTTGTCAATCAAACAACAAATTATATAATTAGTAAAACAAATAAAACATGTTTAAATAATTAATGCTATTTAAATGTTAAGCTAATTGATCTTGTGAAGATTCAAATGATAATTAATTATGGAATTTTGTCAATTTATTATAAGAAACCAATGTTGCACGTATTTAAAGACAATTGCAATTTTCTAACAATATTTCATTGAAGTATTTAAAGAATTGTTCGACAATTATCATGGTAATCTTAACATTCCATCATTGTTGACAGTATAATTCGATAATGGTTGTTGCGTTTATTTTGATTATACTTACTTACTGTAAATGAAATGACAAAAGACTAGCACCAATTTACATATGAATTTCTCTGTGCAAAAAACACATCTCTCTTATTACATTATTTTACATTATTATTAACATTAAATATACAAAATGTATTACAAAAATATTAATTTTCATAACGAATATGCCAACTAAACTAAACTTTTTATAAAATTAATAACAAGAATTATATTTCTTAATTATTTTGTATTATAAATATCGAGTATAAATTAAACAAGTATATTTTTAAATAAATATATAAATAATCATGTTTTATATTAATTATAGTGTTAAAATAGCAATTAAAACATTTCCGAGCAAGTGTATTTCGAGCAAGTGTCCGGCTCCCAGCTGCCCTAGTAGTAGTTGATATGACATGGTCGTGTTCGTGTCATATGTAGTTAAGTATTCTTTTTCAGAATGGGAACAAACACCGAAGCTATAGCCAAATTTCTAACCAAATGTTTACGTCTTATAACACAATAGTTTTAAAAAATTCAAAAATAATCTACCTAGGTAATTATCATTTGAGAATCTCAATTTTAAGATAATGATGAATGAACTTTAAACATGTTAATGTCTAATTAAGATTTGTTCAATATATTTATTCATAGATTAAAATTTAATACAATAAATTTAGAATCATAATGTAACTATAACAACAATAACTATAATAAGTTATTATAGATATTAAAATTAATTTAGTTTTAAATATCCGTTGATTTAATACTGAGATCTTCTTTCTCTTCAATCTCAACGAACTTTTGGTAATTTTTCTCTTTTATATCAATCTCTTTAAGCCATTGTTTTTTGTATAATTTTTCTAAAAGCATAGCATTAGTTAATTGATATTTAAATAAATATTAAAAGCATCAGGGGACTATATGGAGAGTTTGTAAATTATAATGTAATTAATAATTCTATAATTAAGTTAATTTAAGATTAATTTCCCATACAGACAATGTTATACTGTTTATAATTTTGTTTCAAAAAATGTGTGAAATATTATAAAAACCTTACTTTTCTGGTCGTCGACTTCCGGAGCCTCACCGACGGCTCCCAACTCTCTGAGCGCCGCATAGGCTCTGATGTGTACAAAGTTTTCGTTCGGATAACTCGTGTAATCAGTCATACATTTGTTCAACAGTTGAGTCGCTTTTTCAGCGTTTTTCAAATCGCATTCAATTAATCCCAACTCCAGTACTGATTGTGCGGGTAATGAAAACTCACGACCAATACGTGAATCACTTATTATTTTAATTCAAAATAAAATTTATTTTAAATTAAACTCGTTTTTTGTTTTATAATTTAATTACTTGTCAATAATAAAATCCATGCATTCCTTTGCTTTTTCATATTCACCCATAAGTCTATGGATAACACCTTTAAAATACGTGGCCATTAAATAGTTATCCAGATAATCGCTTGATGCTGGGAAAGTAACATAATAATTTATCGTACGTATTGGTAATTATAACATAAATATCTTAATACTCAGGTCATTGTTATATTTATTTAGTTGCTTAATAACTCTATTCATAATATTTTCCAATAACCGATGATTTCCTTTAATACATGTCAACCAATTCAAGTCATATAAGATTTCCTATAAATATTTAAATACAAAACAATTTTAAATAATTTGTCTGAATATTATTGTAAATACTGACCACTTCCGGTAATATTAAGAATTCATTGGATTTAAAGTATTTGTCAGCCCTAACGACAGCCACCTTTTCAGGTGTCATTGATTTACCCAAACGTCTTATCCTTATGTCTGGTATTGATCTTAATTATGAAAAAGACAATAAATATAATAAAAATAAGCAAATGAACCAACATGATGTTATAATAATATTTTAAGAATTACTGTAAAACTAATATAAATTAAAATATAAAATAAGAACAATTACTGAAATAATAGAGTAGCCTTATATTGTTGAACTGAATCATTATCGTCCACACTCTTGGCATATCGAAAAACAGCCTCCCAATAAGTAGCACACCCAGGTGAGATTTTGCACTCGGTACGAAACTTTTCAGCGCACTTTATTGCCTCATTTAAATCGCATTTCAAGGCATAGCACCACATCAGCTCCATTTGGACAATCGATTTACATGACTCGAATGGTTGATCTAGCAACTTTTTATACAACTCAATACCATGATCGATTTTCCCCTGAAATACCACTGTCTTTGCGTAAAATATTTGATATATTATATTCTACAAAAATTGTTTTTATACATAAATACAGGTATATACATAATTTGCAGATTATTTGATGGCTTATTTAAACCATACGTACGTTTGGATACAGTTTAAGTTCTGGGATTAAAATTCGTTGATATTTATCGATATCAGGCGTTCCCAAAAAAATGTGTGCGTCCAACCATAGGTACGCCGAGAATTCTTGCTTGGTGATTTTGGTAAATATTCCCGTATAATTATTCATTGCAATGTTCAAGTTTTTCCATCCCTTACTCTCATTGCCATAAATTCCCAAAAAATTGATAAGACGTAGGATTTTGGGCGGAAAACAACAAATTATTAAATGAGACCAACCGTTGGCCAAACGGACGGCACTTTCATAATATTGTTGAGATAATGTGTTCTCCCATTTCGTGCGATTTATAACCACGTTTTTACAATTTCTATACATTCAATGAAACCACAATTATTGTTATAGAGTTTTAATATTTAGCGAATAGATTATGAATTATAAATAATAATTAAAACAATTTATCAATTTTCTAACTTATATAAACATTTATTTAATAAAATATATATAAGCAATCGATTTTATATTAGTTTATATTTACCGAAAATGTTTAACAAATCTTTGCAAATGATAAGCAATTTTGATTAGTCCATAGATATTATGCATATCAATGAATATCAACGCTACATTCAACATAATACAATAAGCGTGAATTAACTCAGCATGTAATTCCACTGTTGATACATTGGGTTAAGATTAATTATTAAAAAATTATTATATTCAAGTAATTATACTAACAATCGGTGTATTTGTCATAATTGGGTGTTTTAATCATTTTAATAATATTGTTGACAATTCCTGTCCGCCGGTGTTTATTACATAGTTTTATCGCTTGAGACGCATATGTCTTCGCTCTCTTCACATCTTCCTATATAACATTTTTGATTAATTTAACTTAAATATTAAATTAATATATAGACATTAAATAGTATTGTAAAGCCTTTATAAAACCTGATCCATTGAAGTGAATGCCGTAACCATGAGATATAGGGCACAAATATAGCTGTGATATATACTGCGATCACAATAGGGTTCAACGGTTCTGATCATCGCTTCTCCATCGTTGGTCCGCAACAGCTCTTCAAACGCCTGTTCGGCCCCTCCTATGGACTCATCGATCGGCAAATGATCGCTAATTATTGTCATAATAAATGGCATTATTTTTGTATTAAATAGTTTAACAAAACAATATAGATAACAATAAGTCTTACCAATTGTTTGTTGAAACTTCACTTATTTCAGCGTTCATTATGTAATTATAACTAGAATTGTTTGCAATTCAATTGTATCAATGCTTATGTTTTACTGACTAAATAATTTTTAGGTCTAGTGATAAGAAATGGTCACTTATTTATAGACAAACAAATATTTTTCGGGGAAAAAATAGGGCAATTTTGTCAATCAAACAACAAATTCCATAAATTATAAAACAAATAATACATGTTCAAATAATTTATGCTATTTAAATGTTAAGATTAATCTTGATTGATTAATCTAATTGATTTTGCAAAGATTTAAACGGTAATTGATCATGGAATTTTGTCAATATATTAAACAACAAAGATGTATGTATTTATAGACAATTGCAATTTGCTAAGAATATATCAATTAAAGAATTGTGCGACAATTAAACATGATAATTTTAACATTCTATCATTGTTGATAGTATAATTTGATAGATCTTGTTGCATTTATTTTAATAATAATTACTTACTGTAAATGGAATGACAAAAAACTAGCACAAATTTACATATAAGAAATGGGTGACAAAATAATCTAGCTGATCTAGCCGTGGTTGGCATGGTCGTGTTCATTGTTATATTTAATGAGTCTATTTTTAGAATGGCAGCAAACACCGAAGTTATCGCCAAATTTCTAACCAAGTGCTTACGTCTTATAACACAATAGTTTTGATGAATGACATGATTCTATTTTGAAATGATTTGTCCATATTGTACAAGTATTATTAATAATTTATTATAATTAAAATGGTTTAACACGAGCAATTGTATATATTACATTGCTATGAACAGTCGAATAAAATGGTGTGCATGTTAAACAATCGATTATATTAATTAAGTATAAATTAAAAGGAAAAATACAAAAAGCGTAACAAACAATAAGGGGGTGGGAGAGCAGTGAAAACGATAGAGGGATAGAAAACAAGAGTCGGTGAGGGAGTGGGTAACAGAGTTTGTAAACTGGACTGACGGCTAGTATAATAGTTAGTTAATTATGATAATTAATTAGTTAATAATTAAATTAATTTTGAGTGTATTTTATTTGTACAACTTGAGTTATGATGTAAGTAATATTTTACCAAATATAATCTATTTAATAGATTGTTGAATATTGCGATATATGTTTCACTTTTTTAAGAAACACAAAATCACTGCAAAAATAATACTGTACTTTATATAAAGGGTGTATAATACATTAATGGACTCTGCAAAAATAAACTTGAATATCTTGAAAAGTATTCGGGCTAGAAAATTAAAATATATATCAATTTAATTACCAACTCCGGGAGTTTATGCCATGATATGGTCAATATTGTTGATCTCCTATTATAAAAGTAGTCATTAATACAACAAAAACTAGCTACGGCATAAAAAGATTACAGATTCTTAAAGATTGGCAAAATATCTTGAGATATATTTCAGGATTTTACTCAAAAATTAGTTTGAATTTAACATTATGTCTATGAAAAAAATGCTAAAATTTTGTTTTTTTGAGATTACTTTTATAATATGAGGTCAAGCATATCGTTAATAAAATATGTTCCAATAAAATCTACCAAAAATGGATTTGCTCGATTCTTCCCTCGCTGCTAGACAATCTACCCTATTGATTTAAAGTTTAACTAATAATAGTAGGTAATATACCTAAAACGCAAACTAATCTCATTAACTTAAACTGTTGTATTTGTAGATAATTACAAGTTTTATGATTAAAGTTTGAATTCGAATAAACAAATTACAATTTTTGGTGGAATTGTAATTTATGTACAATCTTATGTAATTTTTGTTGTGATGCATGTATATTGGCAACAGTTTTTTGATACTTTCAAAATCAGTGAATCCACTTGGTTTGCATTTACTGCATATTATTTTAAATATTGTAATTTATTTGCAATTTAATTTATTTAAAAGTGTTTTTTAAAATATAAAGCTTAAAATTTTGTTTTTATAACACATTATTACAAAAAAGTATTTTTTAAACATTTTTTATTTGATGTAAATATAATGTATTTTACCTTTGNCTCTCTCTCTCTCTCTCTCTCTCTCTCTCTCTCTCTCTCTCTCTCTCTCATCAATTGTGAATGGTCCATTAAATAACAATAAAATAAAAACACTTGAATTTAATTGTATTTTATTACTTCCATATTCACAACCATTCATATCGTGAATGAAAAAATGATCATGAACAAATATTCAAATTAATATATGAAATAATCAATATTAATCGTGAATGTCATCACAAATCTATGTGACTATTATATAATAATAGCAATCATTTGATTTGCATTATTTGACGACAATCTCCTCCTCCTTCTCGAGTATACTCTCGTAGTTCTTCTCCTCGACGTTAATGTCTTTAAGCCATTGTTTCTTATATTCCTCCACTAAATAGACACAAAACATGTGATAAAATTGCGCACAAAATATGCATAACTAGTGATTGAAACATACATTTCATGTCATCCTCTTTGAATTTATCGGTACTGACGCCGAGTTCCCGAAGGCCTGCGAAGGCCCGCAAATGCACGTAATTCTCGTTGAGATAACCGCTATAATCGCTGATACATTTGTTGAGCCACTTCTTCGCCTCCTCCGCCCTCTGGGGTTTCGCCTCCATATCCAAGAGACCCAACTCTAGCACCGCCTGAGCCGATATCGATGTCTCCGTCTTGATCTTTGAGGCGCTAGAAAGTGAAGATAGGGGTTATGTTACGTAAATTAGGGTTAAATATGTGTGTTATGTTTGCAACTGTATGTTTCCTCTCTTATTATTATCAATTGTATTACACGTGAAAAGTATACCTCAAATGTTAGGGTAATTTAAATGTCATTATTTTTTACTTAATATCTGGTATCAATTGAAACGCTTTTAAAACCTGCAATCATTTTATAGGTAAAGTGTTGCGAGAGAGAGAGAAGGAGGAGGAGATTGTCGTCAAATAATGCAAATCAAATGATTGCTATTATTATATAATAGTCACATAGATTTGTGATGACATTCACGATTAATATTGATTATTTCATATATTAATTTGAATA